TGTTCCTCATCAGTGGTCCAGTGCGCATGCGACATTACTAGAGCTGCTGACGTTATTAATCGCTGTGAAACTGATCCACTCACCTGTGGTCCAATTGGCCCTTGCACACCCTGAAAGAAGTAAGAAACATTGATCTTTAGTTAGTTCAAATATTGATTCTGGAAGAGAGGGGATTTCTATTTCTATAGCAATGATGAGCACGCAATCCAACTCATTCGTTTCGAATCGAACAAAATGCACAAAGTGCACATCATCTGATTGCAAAACATACGACTGGTGATAAAGTATTTTCCAAGTGTCACCTTCGGTGAGCACGCGGCACGGATACGGTAATGAGAACATCCTTTGTTCCAATCAAAGCGCGCGAGGTCGCTGCTCATCCAATCAGAATGCTAAGGTGCTGCGCAGTTACGAGCACGGCACGGCACGTGCACCGTTTTTCTTACTCTTAGACAATTTCACTCTATCAGTCTATGTCACGCAACGTTTCTCTTCCCACGAATGTGTTAGTTGGAAGAGATTGCGTGACCACGTCAAGCAGTAGGATATCAATGTGCTTATCTACCATAAATATACCTACTTCTCGTCCTTTTGGTCCTCTTGGTCCACGAGGTCCGGACTGAATAAAGACAATGGGACATAATTAGTGAAGAATTCCCAGGAATGTAAAAGCTGCACGGCCAAGGCACGATAAAAACCAAACCCCTTAATTAGCCRATGTCACGGGGGAATTCAATGGTTAACATAGCTCATTCGCGCGCGCACGTATTGCAGTCACACTTACGCGCAAGATAGAGCGGTTTTCGTATGAGTGGGAAACGATACGGTAAATTCGTAGCCTTACTTTAGCCGTACCGTATCTTACTGTAACTAAGCGTGTTCTATTGAATGAATTGCTGCCATAACACAGTAGGAAGCCAGATACTGTTGGCAAGGAGCAAGGATGCCCTCGAGGCAAATGGCTAAAATATCTGTTCAACTGATGAACCTATATGATTAGATTTAATTGGGTCTTTAATAAAATTAGCCGACCCTAACCACGACTAGCAGAAGGCTAAAAGGTGCTATCTATTTGGATTTTGAATGTCATCATGAAATGATAAGCTAAATTAAGTCAACAAAATAGATTTCATTCTTTGAGCGCAATGCTTTTGCATATAAGACAGGGTGAAGATTGAGTTGGAGTTTCTTAGGTCAAAAAGAGAAGGTGGATGGAGAAAGCTTGTAGTACTATGTATCATAGTGGCTGTAAATAATAAGCTGGAGACGCGCACTGATCTGATATGCTTTATCAATGCGCACAACACCTAAAGAACAAAGCGCACACGCACACTTATAAAAGTAGAATCCGAGGCAACAATCTAAACACGAAACAACGATGAGAACTAGCCTAGTCTAATAAAGACTAATATAGTCTAATATAGTCTAATAAAGACGCAAAGACGACTAGAATTACAAGGTTAAGCGCGCACTAAGACTTGCTTTAATTTTGCACAAATACCAATTTAAGCGCAAAACATTAAGTGCAAGAATACTGTTTTTATATCTTTGCGCAGGTTTAAGAAATTGCGTCCTCGTTAAACCAAAGCTCTCGACGTTCGCCATTTCCATCATTCTTCATTGAATGGTCTTATGCGCGTCACGCAATTGAAGCGAGACTGTGTGGTTATTTTTTAAGACATATTAATCCGTGATACATCCGGTCCTTGAAGAGTTAATGTATGGCCTGTTTTCGTGTCAAACGGCGACACTTGAACGAATGACGTCACAAGTATGTCATCACTTACTGCACACTTTAATTGTGCTCTCAAATTAGTCAACGACAGTGAAAAGCCCCGGAAATTTAAAAAAAGATATATGCTTCCTTTCTTTTCCCACCATTTGATTTCTTTTCTTTCTTTATACCTCTCCTTTCCTTTCCCCTCCCTCTCCTTTTCTTCATCACCCCATATTTTCCTTTCCTTTCAATCCATTCATCACGCTCTCCTTTCTCCYTCTCTCACTTTCCTCTTCTCCCATTTTTCTCCCTTTCTCTTTCCCCTCTTCTCTCCCAAACTTTTCCTTTCGCTTTTCCCTCTCTCCCATTTTTCTTTCATTTTTCTTCTGTTCMTATATTTGTCTTTTTCTTCTCCTCCCATAGTCCTACCCTTTTTTAACATCCGTAAATACTTCATCTAACAATACTTGCCAATATTGTCTCCGCTGAGGCGGGTACGTCACAAAACGAAAACTGTCGACTTATCATCATCCCGTGATGTGAACTGATCATTCGAATATTGATCGTGTGTTTATTCCCAAGGTTAATTGAAATGAAGCCAAATAACAGTAGTCTTAAATTAGAATATCGTATACAACATTTGTAAGGAATGATTTATGAGTTTTCTAATGCTTTTTGGTAGTGATCGACAACAGACAGAAACGAACGATTCTAGTTGAATAAATAAATGAACCTTAGTATATCGACCACCTTTTAAATCCGATCAACCCTGTCAAACGACCGACTATCTGTAATCTCTCTTTATACCTTAGGCATGTTGCTAATGAAAACTACCTCCGTATATCGACTCCTAATCTTTGTTTCTTACATAGGTCTACCTCTGTAAACCGACCCCTAACTTCTCTCTAACGACCGTCTTGGCGTGACCAAGGTGCGGTCGCTTCCACACGAGTTCACCCGCGGCATGAACAAAATAACAATGAGGGGAGTAGGGTGGGGTACATTTTGTAGGCGTGTTTCGTAAACCTCTTCCTATGACGCAAAAAATGCTTTAAAAAGTAATTCTTGCCGAACGGAATTTAAGGGCTCGTACGAATTTAACTTAACACACGAAAAAGCTTATCAAACGGAAACAGAATTCGACCACAGAAACGGGATAACAAAGATCGAACAGCGGGAGAAACCACGAATGTTACGTGAACCACAAGTGTGAAATTAAAAATTGGATAATTGGATAACGATGTTCTTGTTTGTGAGATAATAAGGCGATGGTGACTCTTTTGTGATTAAATTTCTACGTTTCCTTTGCATTTTCCCCTCCAAAAATCACTCAAAAATTGAACAAAAATACTGCATTGCTAGAACCAGTCTCTAAATTCTTAGAAAAATCCGGAATGGCACAAATGTAGAGGATTCGTGGAGTCTAATACTTGGCCATTTGGTCGCATGCAGAGCTATCAAAATACTGACGTCTGTAGTTCTTTGAAGCCGATTTAATCCCTGTACGCTAAGCCTGCTTGAGTCAACACAACGCTTCAATGCTTACCTAAAAATACATTCCTGTACTTAGGAGTGTGCTAGCTTTGACCCTAGAAATGTGTTTTGGGAAATTGTTTTGATATTCCGAGATCATCGTCAATCGAAGTACAGCCTGCTCGCTCAGCCATTTCATTCGCGAAAATAAACAATATGTTATAGCATTTTWTATATTTTACTTGATTTGCCTCGATAATTAGCTTACTGAGGGCTTAAAAAAGCCTGTAAAACTCAAAATCGCTTGTTTAGCATCGAACCAGTTATCGAAACATTACCGTGAATAACCCTTATCGATGTGAATACATTTTTGGATAATGATTTGTGTTGAAGGTTTTATTCCGTCATAATTACCGTCCGTGAGGTCCCCCGCTGTGTCTAAAGTGAGCAAAGTCAAATTCATGTTTTCGCGGAAATACCTCCCTGACCACAATTCAAGAATATCAGCAACTTGGCAAAAACCGCGCTCTGGAAATCTGCTCTGAAATAAAATACTTTTGGTACTAAAAAGCCTACTGACAGATGTATTAGCTGTGGCCAGCTTATATGTAACTATTTTCGGAGGATTTTTTTCGGTAAATGCATACTCTAAAGGATAACAGAAAAAAAATTTCCAACCAAATGTACTATTTTTAGCGAAGAATTTTGACAAGCTTATCTTGATAACTCTTTTTTCCCAATACTCAAAAAATTTATATATTGGAAAATATTCGTAGGAATGTTAGAAAGTAAATTAAAGAAAAAATGTCGATAAATCCGACAATTAGAAAAGGTTATAAGGCCAATAATAGATTTACTAGTTTCTGTTACAAATCTCTTCTTGAAGTGTATAACCCTGGAAAAAATAATGACTAAACATGCTCTCAAACGAAAAAGATATGATAAAAAGACAAAAAAGAGGACGTAGTTTCAGAGCTTTTTCGTTTTAGGGAGTATAAAACAAGACGACAACCTAAAGAAGCTTTCTAAATGAAGATTTAAGAAATTTAAACAGATTGGGGAGGTATATTTACCGAGTAATACATCTGTTTGTACTATTGTCAAAATGTTGACTTGTCATATCAGTTTTCAGCACTACAAGAGGAGCCGTCGAATTAAATCTTACGTACAATGCATAATTTTTGCTCTGGAATGACAGCTTTTTCACAGGGCGCAAAGATCTTTGTGATTTGAAGTGAATGACTGACTGTCCCCTAGATAGCATTCCTACAATACATAAATATGCCGAAAAATTTGCTAAACAAATCGATAAAATGCTTTGTTTTAAAACTTTCTTAACTTATAAGACAACTTCTTGATTATAAAGAAAGCAATGATATAGTAGAATACGGTGCCAAATGTCATAAACTTTAGAGCAATATTGAAAAACATTAGACATGCTGTGGGAGGTCATTTTAAGAAAACTTGTTTACAATGCGCATTTTCTTGAAGTCATAATACGTTGCATTTGAATACGAATAAAATAATCGAAATACGACGAGTTTTTCTGCTATTTTTGAAAAGTATTACAGTATACAATGCATTGATCAAAAGTATTTTGATATTCTGTGTATTTAGCGTTTTGGAGAAAGGAAATTTATAATTGGAACTTAGTTTTAAAAGTTGTATTCTTCAAGTTAATGACCAAGTAGATAACAAGGTGTCGATTGTTCAAATGATTTGATTATAAATGAAAATCTTTCAAGCTAAACTTACCTTTGTGTTCTTTAGTCTTTGGTCAATTAAATCTGTGAAGGTTCTTGTGCAGACTCTGGGACACTTCCTTCGTGCTGAGTAGCATGAATCGATGGCAAGGAGTATTATCATGAACCAAAACAGAGCACGATGATGTAGTACTCGTAGTACTTCCATTGTTTGCTTCGTCTTTAGATTTCCTAAAGATTTACCAGTGTTGTAAGGGTCTAGTAATCACAGAACTAGCAGCTACTGCAGGAAGAGATATCAGAAGTGTATTATACCCCCGGTGTTGAAGAAGCTACCGGTTGGGTGAACAACAACGACTGAAGTCCTTGCAGGTCACGCGTTTGTTTAAACCTTGAAAAGGATTTGCAAATCGTTTGGTGAAATTATCGTAATTCAATAACCCGTGAACAATCAGGTCTCGAACATTAAAATTAGGTCAAAGACACCTCCAAAAATCTCCCAACTGATTCATACTGACCTCTTATCGTATTAAACACTTGGTTAATGTCTGAAAACAACAGGAAATATCTGAGAAAGGGGGTAAAAATCATTAAGTTATTTTCATACACGATATATGAAATCTTCCACGAGACCGGAAGTGGAATAACGAGTTATTGACAGCCGGAAGTACAAACCTATATTGTCTCTTCTGTCCCTGCGACTTGAAATGAGTCTAGTTTTTGTCTCATTGTAGTTTACACTTTATCGTCGTTTACAGTAATTATCAATTTTGGTTCCGATTGATAAAAAGCGTCGCCTACTTGAAGTGTTCGTAGGCAGGAATGCAAGTCATTTTGGAATTTTTCTCGTTTCTAAGAGAAAAATAGCTCTAAAAAGGCTATCTATCTTTCGCGATAAATGTCCTTAATTCATAAACACTGATAAAATTTAGATTAAAAATACTGGCACAGACACAACACACATAAAACATTGGCTTTATAAACAATTCGTTCTACAAAAACAAAATAAATATTGCCAAATTTCTGAAAATGTCAAGGTAAGTTTTAACTATCAAGTTTCTGTAGTGCGTACTAATTTAGTCAAACTTGTCGCCAAAATGGCGTTGCTTCCGAAGTTTTTGAGCCAATATAAGTATCAAAATATGACGAACAAAGAAAGCCGGTTTGACCCTTTCTGGATTAGAGATTTCTGCAGCAAAAAGCATTATCGTAAATCGAATTCTTTGGACTCTGAACATAATTGACATTGTTTTATAATCCAGAAACAAACATTTAAAACATTTTGGCTCTTTAACTKAATCTTAAAGCCATGTATTGAGACGAAGGACGCCTTTTTTTCCGCACTCCTGTTTTCCCGCCTTTTTTGAGGGAGAACACCTCAAGGTGCGCACTTTTACTTCCAATATTATGTGTCGCCTACTAATTGTTTGAAGAAGAGATAAATAAAACGTTTAGAATGTTTGCCTGCACTTTGACTTCCAGAACGGAAACTGTTTGTCGACACCAAGTGCGAATGGATCAGACCAGTCATCGTACTCAGACCCAATATATTTACTCCTTCGATAATCAAACTCACCCGGCCGTTCTAAGTCAAAGGGAGAGCACTTCAGAGTATTTTTTTCTTTCAAAAGGTTTAAGAAACTTCTCTGCTGCAATAAATTGAGATTTTAATCCTGACATACTGAAGATATGATAGATGCGATTGTAAACGTTTGAAGATACCTTATCGGGTGGTGAAAAAGAGTTACAGGCCAAACGCAAAAGGGCAGGTAAGGTCTCGAGAAAAAAGTCCGAATCATTAACTTTGTTATATGTATCTCAAAATTAATTTGGGGGTCAAGTTCACGAAATATGAAATCTTTTTTAGCAGAGTAAATTCTTCCTGATAAAATACGCACCGCTACTTAAGAATAAGACACAAATTTATGAATGAATAACGAGTGGAAAAGCCACAAAGACGTTCTTATTTTTCTTCTCCTTAACGCAATGGTACGAACGCGGATTTCATTCAAAATTTCAAGTTTCTTTTGTGACTTAATTGTAATTCAAGGCAAGTTTTTTTGCTCGATATTCGCGCGCAGGGCTAAAACTGGTTCAAACTTGAAGAACRCTGATGCGCACGCATCTGAAAATAAAACAAGGCTTTCGTACTTCATTAATTAGTAAATGACTTAGCAAGGGTATCGGTAAATAAAGATTATTTCATTTCAATATGGCTTAAAGTTAACTATTTCAGACGATAATAGTCATTACACTTCAACGTTCTCTTGACTATCATGTCTCAATAACGAGAGATGCATTAAAACAGAATTGAAAGCCGTTCGCACCTGTAATGACGCTACTAGCGTCGTACAAACTGATATATATAGGTGAACGTGTTCAAACCTTGAATGTTTGAGGAAATTAAACATCAAAATAAATTGACTGGACTTACTATCTGTCAGGGTATCAAGGCCAACGGAGATTCTGAATGAAAGGTTGAATCAAACTTATCATCTCAGTTAAAATAATTGAGGAAATTAGGCCAATTTAGCGCCCAATTTCTAACCCTTGCGGGGGATTTCCATCAGGTAAGGTGTGGAAAACTTTACTGCCTATACTTCTAATACATTACCTAATTCACTCAGGATCTGGTATTCATACGCCTACATCGATGGAATGTGATTCCTGAAGTATATATATTTTTGACCGCGTCACTGACAGCTGAGCTACAGTTTTTTTTGTAGAAAAAAAGTCATTGCTCAAAATAAGTGCTCGAACAAGATGGCGGACCAAGATCACGTGACCGACGAGTACACCGATTTATCACCTGAGACAGGCAAAACTTTATGGAAGATTATTTTTAAATAATCTTAAAAATACTTAATAATAATCTTAATAATACCTTTAAATATTATCCGGATACCCTGAAACTCACAGATTGAATCGGAATTTCGCAAGTTTGGTTTTGCGGATAAAAGAAAACCGTAGAATCCAGTGACATATCAGTGGAAAATACAGCAGAATCAGCCCTTCTTGACGTAGGGAGAGTTTGACGGCTTGCTCGTATATGAAGTTTTAACGCTCAAGAACATGCGAAAGATAGACTTTATTTTGATATCACAAACACGGTGGGGGATTTCCATTAGGGAGAAGCTACATGACCTTTCTTGGCTTATCTGGTGGTATATCGCTCTAGAGGCGTGCAAAGATACAAAAGTATACTTGATTAGATATATCATGGTTTTGGCAACCATGGAAAATCCCACGAAGCACTTGTGTTTTTTTCTTGTATACACACGAGGATTCAAGTAGAGCTTCAAGTCGTTGTATACAAAGGAAATACAAGTGACAAGTAAGATATTCCAAGATATTCCACGAGAAAACACATAAAAATATCCATCTCATCTCATAGAAAACTGTCAGCGCAGCTTGAAAGGAAAAAAAATCAAAACACTGACGAATTCATAATGGCTTTCCTGTAAAATGAATTCCCACCGCGCCGCGATACGAAGATATTTCATCCACATGTCCTACTCTTAATTAAACTAGGATAAACATCCATCTGTAAGAAACATTTAGTATTATCGGTAATACTCTTCATTTGTGGTTGCAGATGGCATTATTGATAACCTGTGGTATGATTAACCCACACATGCAAAATAGTTTTCGTATACACCCGCTGTCAGTGTGTCTCTCAGCTTGGGAAGCAAAAGAAGGCGTCCGCAGCAGTACTACACTTGCCTATCACCTCTGGGGTCTCGAGTTCGATACTTGGACTTGTTATCACATGTGAGTAGAGCTTGTTAGGTCTCTCACTTAATTCAAGGGTTTTTCTCGGGGTTCTCCGGTTTTCCTCCCTCCGCAARATATAACAAGTTAAATGCGAATTATATAGTTCTGTGAGTTAGCCGTGCCTTATTTTGATCAGCCCAGAGGTTGTTTCAGGATATCGATAAGATTGAGGCTTGCTTTAAATTTTTCTTCTCTGTTCATTTCGTGGTCTTCAGATTTCACAATGATGCGCGTGTTTGGTAATGAAGCACGAATCACAGCCTAGTCCACTTTTATAAGGGAATGAATCATAATCCAACAGCAAAGACAAATACGAAAAAATTACCAAACATTCTTGCCACATAAGCGCGCCGCAGCATTGAAATACTAGGTGTGATTAGAAATAAAACTGTCGGAAACCACAGCAGAGATTGCGTGCACATGCAAGGTGATAACAGTTTCAGGATAATATTAACGAGGCGTGGGATTTTACATGACTCAGTATTTTAAAGTAGGCGTTTTCATGGCACGAGTTGACGCAAAAGATTTCTAATTTTTCGTGAAAGGTTAACCACGAAAAAAAAGAAGATTTTTGACCATGTTAAAAGTTGGTGATGTACTCATTGAAGAATTGTCTCGTGATGTTGCACGATCATTCAAGGGAGATATCTAACAAATTCTACTCACGTGATGCGAATTTCAGAAATCGACCGCAGGACCACCCCAGAGGTGAGAGACAACTTCGTCGAAAAATGCTGCAAAACAGTTCTCTGGCTATAGTTTGCTATATTATTTTGTAGCTTAAGTAGTCGTCAATATCTTTTTACTTAAACATGGCGGATGAACATCACGTGACCTAACATGGCGGACATGGGGCACATGGGTTAGCATGGCGGGAAATAGTCACGTGAACTATCAATGCGTATTGCTTCTATATACGCCCTTAATCTGTTTTAACAAATAAATGACAGAGAAGATCTATCGATATCAGTCTATTTATGTGTGAAATAGTTACAATGGAAGCGCCTAAGTTGCGATGATACTGATAAAAGTTAATTGTTCAATGTTTCCTTTCGCAAGATGTCCGGGGACTTTGCTTTCTTTAGAGATATAAGGTTAATATCACAGGAAATTGATGAATAAGATCTACCCATTAGGAAGTGTCTGAAAGCGCCGTAAGGTTTTTACCAGATTTCCTTACATTCACGGTGGTTAAGAGAACCCCGCACTTTTCACCTCGCAGCGAATTCTAGTTTGTTCTYTAGTACCGTTATCGTCTTGGTTTATCAAATATTCTAGGAAAAAGTCGCGGTGGTCGTCGGAGCCATTAAAATAAATAACGGGAAAAGTAGTGTTTGGGTTTGTTTGTTAACGTCTGTCTAAATGATAACAAAAAAACTCATAACTTACCCAGAACAATGGCAGTAGTATTGACATTGGCTAGTGCGACTGACCATAATACAAGCTATCCGAGTAAAATCTAATATCTTAAGGGCGTATGTAGAAGCAATGCGCATTAATAGTTCACGTGGATATTTTCCGCCATGCTARCCCACGTGACTATGTCATGTTAATCACGTGATTTTCATCCGCCATTTTAGATAGCAACATTTGAATTATGAGTAAAAAGATATTAATGATTGCTTGAGTAGGAAAATAAAATAGCAATCGGCTATAGAACTTTCAGTTGTTGGTATATTATAGCCGAACTCTTTAAAAAATATCTAAGATGCAAGGCTACGAGGAAAATATAAAAGAAATACTATAACTTCCTGGTAGCCTTGCATCTAACACCAAGACATTACAAAGACAAGGAAAAAAAGCCTGGGGCTAATATAAAAAAATGTGGCTCAACAGCAGATATACCATTTGTAATATCTTTTAAAAATAATATATCAATTATATCAAGATATCTATTTACAATTATTTAAAGGTATATATATGCTAGAATACATGCAGGCTTAGCTTGTCACTGAGAGTCTCTTTTTTGTTTTGCCTCGAGAACCTCGCAGCTGGTTGAGAAATTGTGATTCCTGTTCCAAGAACTCTTCGTCCTAAAGAAACAAGAAGTTTAGTCTTGGATGTGTTATGGTTTGCAAATACAGTGCCTGGGAGGGGAGGGTGGGGTTTTACGTCCCCTCCTCGCTCCAAGAATGTTTTCCCATTTCAGACCACATGTCATTCTCTTGAGCACTATTTTTATTTTCCTGTAACACTTCCAGGGGAGGCATTTTTAGATGTAAGGAAAAACTACTCAGAGGTTTGAAATGGGAAAGCCTCTCGTCCAAAGTAGGACCGTCCCTTTCTTTTCTTACCTTTTCTTTCTCGTTCGTCCATTTTCTCAAATTTCTTTTCAACTCCAAGCTGTTCAGTAAAATGTCAGGCGTTCCAAGTGTCCGGCCGGGAGACTGGGACAAGCAGTCAAAGTCTAATGCCGATATGACGGGAGTAGAGCTGATTCGTCCGTCTGCAACAACGAGGTGAAATAAGTTAGTCGCAGACAAAGTTGAAAAACCATGCTTATGCTTTCGAAAAAAATCTCCAAAATCAGCAGATAACCTCATTTCTTTAAGATTAAGGAAATAATTGTATTTATATCTATTAACCAAAGCCTAATGTTTGTTTTCATTGAATGTAGAACTTTTCTAATGTTTTGTAATAAAATGTTTTTCCCTAAAAACCCCGACCAATGTTCGTTCTGAATGCGACATATTTTAGCGGCCATGTTTGTTTTCTTGGACCATTCTGCGCACGCGCGGAGGTTTTTAAGCCCAGTCACATGCTTACTGTACTCGGTATTCGTGGATCTGGGATCACTGCAAGAATGCGTTCATTAGATTCTTCACGGAGTAACAAAAAATAGAAAGTAGAACATATTTTGTTATTCTTATAACATATGTCGGATGTTGCTATAATCACTTTTGAGATCGGCCCAAAGGGTTTTTAATACGATAGACAACTCCTCCATATGCCTTATTATTACTAGTAACAAGATTATATAACAATACGTTAGTATTTTAAATCAATCCCAGATGATTTGTGATTATTAGAGACAGGTGGCCTAGGCAAATGAACGGATTGCTGATGCTAGAGGCACGCGCGGGACAGAGGACGCGTGTAATGGACGTGGGACGGACACGAATTATCCTTTCTCTTTAGGATTTATTTACTTAGTTTATAGACTAACTTCTTCACGAGAGTCGGAGAGCTTCTTTGCCAAGCCTTTTCTTTGCCAGCGCTGGCTACTAATGTCAATGAATTGAAGATTTCACACACACAAAAAWATATATATATATATAAATAAAAAGTCTAAGTCAAACCTAATCTGGCACTGATTAATTAACATGTTGACAAGTGTTGCACAGGGCTTGGCTATTGATAAGGTGATTACCGATAATCCTGGTTTACGTCTTAACCTGGAGTTCTACAGTTCTATAGAAATATGTTTTTGATCAGTCTCCAAAAAATCGACTCATACAATATTATACACAGATGTACCACGTGATAAAGGAATAATGCTTGGAAATTCCTATCGCTCACCCACTGACGTCATATAAGCTATATACATATATATATATATACAGTCAATGTCATTAACGTTGTCCACCGAAAAATGACATTTACACATTTACACATTACACATTTACACATTTAGACTAAAAGAAATATCACGTGTTTCATTATGTATTCTATGCTTCGTCAGCCTAAACTTTTAATTCAACTCATGAATCGAAAATAATCCAGAATGCCCTGACCATTTAGTGAGGATTTAAGATGGAGAATGGTATTTCAGCATTTGTTTTATGCCAGAACGTTCGAGGAAACACGTGATATTTCTTTTAGTCTAAATGTGTAAATGTGTAAATGTCATTTTTCGGTGGACAACGTTAATGACATTGACTGTGTATATATATATTTTTTGAACAACCTCCATGCCATGGACTGTGGAGGGGAGGAGAGGGAGGGGAGAGAGGAGGGGATGGGATGAGAAAAGAGGGGAGGTAAAGGGAAAGAGGGAGTAATGTTACTGTAGCTGTAAAGAGGGGGTAGGGGTAGGGGACATTTTAGACATGCTAATAGGTGCCAAGGTATTTTAATGGCAAACCTCATAGGATCTATTCCAACTGGCTGATCTCCACCATTATAAAATAGAAAAACACCATTCATAATTTTGTAGCTCTAAAGAGCGATTGTGGTTGGTTCATTTGACAGCTGCAATTCGATTTGTTTATTCATTCATAGCTGCAACATGGTTGGTATATTAGAATCTGATTGGCCGATTGATTTTTTAAAATATCAAACCTGATCTACTAATATGCTGACTCACAGACCCACTTATAATGATCTCCTGCTTGATGCTATTCTCTCTGGCTCTCTTCCGTCATTATTCTGATGTGATAGTTGAACACTTGTCAAGGAGGTACAACACTCCTGTTTAATTGGCGCTAGTGCCCGGCATTTTGCCGGTATCCATGTATTTGATATCGAAGGACTTAATTAATGATGAGTGGAACAAATGTGAAACAGACTTGAAAATTATTTGAACTGATGACACACACAAAAAGAAATGAAATACGCAAGGAAAATTGATAACAGTCCGTGGATTGACTGACATACGGACGGACAGACAGACTGTGGATTGACTGACAGACGGATGGACAGACAGACTGACAGACAGACATAAGTTAAGAGGAACAGACAGGGAAAAAGACAGACAGACATATATACAGACACACGGACAGATAATCAAACAGATATACAGATTGACGGACAGAAAGACAGACAGACAGATATACCGGTAAAGACTCACGGACAGACAGAGAGATGCAAACAGACAGACAGACAGACAGTCGTAGACAGGCAGAAAAATGGAAGGTAAAATAGTAAGACAACACATAAAAACATTTCACGATTAAACTACAACCATTATTTTTTCAGCAAAATAATGATAGAATGAATGCCGAGTGCTCTCTTGACTGTGTATCGAATAGCCTTTCAGGGGTCAACCTATCGAGATACTGAATAACTAAGATACTTAATAAGATACTGGAGAGACATTATCACTACACATGGCGTCGGTCAAGATATACTGTACTCACCTACACGCGACAATCAGTCTCATTTAACGTAATTACATTATCTTAATCAAAGAGAAGCTTGAAGCAATCACCTTGTTCTAAATATACCGACCTCACAGACTCCCCTCTCCACAGGCGGCCCAAGCTACAATCTTGGTCAAAAATGTTGAGAAATATTTGGTTTTGATGGTATTTTCATGAAAAACATAAGAAATTCCCCTTAAAGCGACCCCCTCCCACCTTAAACAATGTTGTTTCGAGGGATACAGGGCTGCTTTACCTACTGGGACCAACATTGTCCTGGGGGAGAGGGGGTACGGACAATATTTTTTTAAATAAGGGAAATTCTACTATTTCATGATTGGATGAAAAATTCTCAACTCTTTTTGTCCAAGATTGTAGATTATAACATGTTGTCACGCGGTTACATCTGGTTAGTGTGCTGCATAGTGTATTTCGATTGGCTGAGCGTGTAAGCCACTTATAGTCACGTCAGTAAAAATCCAGAATGGAGAAACGAAATCTGGATGTCGAAATTTTACGAGTATTACGACTTAAAATCTAGTTTCTTTTGTATAAACGCTCTTCAATAGAGCATAGAAGGTATACGACGTTTATGGTTGAAGTCTAAACCATGTTTTTCTTACCTGGAAGGTCAGCAATAAGGAGTGGGCTATCTGTGGTATTTCCTTCACACTGTCTACATCTGCCGTTGCGCTTGTCCATCTCAAGAACTCGCCGCTCATGCGCAATAGAAACACGATCCTGAAACAAGAAAAACAGGTTTAGATTGAAACTGAAATGAGAGCTACCGCTGGCTAGACTTTCAAACAAACAAAAACGAATCAACGGTTTTAATATGAAAGTGTGGCTTTCAAGTAACTCATGATTTTCATGACTAGCTGAGTGAGTTTGTGATTGGCTGGTACGAACTCCTGCGCTTTTTGATTGGCTTACCGATGGAAGCCATTTATAARTGCCTCGTCAAACGGGCGGTTCGAAATGCGCATGCGCTTTTCATGGGGATAGTTTAATCAACAGTACAACACTAATTTTCAAATCATCCAAAGCTTTACCTGTGCTAGCTGTTTTTCTTTTTCCTGTATCAGAATAAATCGGTTTTCAAGTTCGGCTCTCTCGTTCTCAGTTTCCCTTCGAAGCATCTCGGCTCGGGCCAAGGCTTCCTCTCCTTCTTCACGAGCTCTTGTATTTTCCTATAATTTTGCAAAATATATGAAAATATTCATAACTTTATCAAAGACTAATAATGTGATGGTGAATAATATTAGTGATGGTGGTGTTTTTGATGATGATGATGGTGTTGTTGGTGGGTGGTGATGACGATGATGGTGGGAGTTGATGATGGTGATAATGGTGATGATGACTTGGTGATAATGATGATGATGGTGATAATGATGGTGATAATGATGGTAATGATGATGATGGTGATAATAATGATGATGGTGATAATGATGGTGATGATTATGATTATGATAGTAGGGATGTTGAGGATGATGATAAGGATGGTAATGATGATGGTCATGGTGATAATGATGATGATGGTGATGATTACGATGGTGATGATGGTGATGATTATGGTGATGATTATGATAGTAGGGATGTTGATGATGATGATAATTATGGTAATGATGATGATGGTGATAATGATGATGATGGTGATAATGATGATGATAATGATGATGATGGTGATAATGATGATGGTGATGATGATGATGGTGATAATGATGGTGACGATTATGATGGTAGGGATGTTGAGGATGATGATTGAGGTAGTGTTGAGGTATATGCTACAATCATGTAACCGACTTACTGTGCATAATTTTCCTATTTCTTCCGATCTTCGCTGCACTTCAAGGCTCAGTTTTCCTATTCTATCTTTCTCCTCTTCAAACCTCTCTAGACGCAAACTGAAGTCGCGCTTCTCTCGTCTCAGTGCATCCTCTTCCTGCTTCAGTTGAGCCTGTCTCACACCCAGTGCTGCGGCATCTTCCTTGATTTTTGATGCGGTGATTTCCATTTCCGCTTCAGCCTAAAAAATGATTCAACATAGTCTTATTCTGCAACATTTATATACGTTTTTAGACCTATATTACCCAGTGTTACTCATATAATCCTGTTTTACACCGTATATGCCTTATACCTCTTACATGCCCTGTTATACCCTGTTACCCATTGTAAGCCATATAGTCCTTTGTCACACCTCCCACCCCTTATGAACCCCGATACCCTTTAAGGACGATATATAGTTCTCTTTTCTTTACCTCTAGTCCTATAACAATGTGTTGCATACTACTTATCTATGTAGCCACATAGTCCCATGTAACACACCCTATAACTACTTACATGCCCCTTCTATGCCCTATTCACACTGCGGTACCATATTTTACTCTACTAACCTGTATTGTAGTATCAGTCTTATGTTTCTCTTTCGTTAAGATTTCTCTGTGAGCTGAGGAAAGCCGAGCTCTTTCCATGGAAATGTTCCTTCGTTCTTCTTGTAATTCTGTTGTTATTCGTTTCTGTTCTCGAAGGAGTTCTTCTCTGGCTCGTTGTACGTCTGCTCGCTCCATCGCTAGTTGTTCCATGGTGATTCGACGCTCGTCTTCTAATGCGGACTGTACATAACAACACGAACAAAAGCAATATCAATCGTACTCTGCATCACACACGATTGAATCCAATCATATAGGAAAGTGCGCAAAGAAAATAAGAGACACCCGTGTCACTATACCGATCAACCAACCCGAGCGCGCGTTATTTAAGCAGTATGTCCGGCGCCCGACCAATCGAAATGCGAGATAGAGAACCAATGCGGATCCTTCTTTGCAGAAGACACGACTGAAATAACTCAACTACGAAGGCGCGCGAAGATAGTCCAAACACCTGTGATGGTTGCGGCCGATCGACTTTTTGAAGCGCGCGTTATACAGGATAACAAATAAGCATGGGCCCGAACCAATCTTGCGCTACAGATCTTGATAATCTTTCATTTTTTGGTACATATGCGTGACGAAATGATGCAGGCGAGCGGGTGTTGGATTTGGAGATCATAAGCAGTTAACTAGTGCACTATTACTGATATTGTCATCATGTCATCGTTAGTTCTTTTCGACTCTGTTTTAGAGGAGCTACATTTGTCGTAGATGGCGTTTTTGGATTTATTCCTATCAATTTCTCTCAGAATTTTCAAGAAGCGTTTTTTGTGGTTACCTGAAGGGCTTTGATGCGCGAATCTTCTTGTGTCAGTCGCCATCGCTCCTGGTCCACCTGACGACTCTGTTCTCTCATGTGGACTTCCATCTTTGCGATAAGACCTGCGACATAACAAAAATGTCATTTAAAGTCTACGTTGCGATTCTATTTTATGTAGAATATCCATGTGTTCCAGTGTATGTCCGTGGAACTTCAAAATGTTTGTATTATTGAAGTTGTGTGTTCTGTAATTTAACTTGAGTATTTATTGAAACGACCTCTGGGCTTATCTAAGTCAGGGCGTGGCTAAACTCATTGATCAAATTGGAACTTAGCGTGTTTTGTGGAGGGAGAAAATCCCGAGAACTCTGAGAAACACCTTAGTATCAAGGAATAGATCTAACAAACTTTACTCAAATGCGATGCTAAGTCCATGAAATCGAACTCGAGACCCCAGAGATGTGAGGCAAGTGAACCATTATATCACCCTTGATTTCAATACTAAGCCAGAAACATCCTATCATTACAGTATAATCACGTGACCCACCCTGTAGTCTCGCTCGTTCCTCGTCATTCTCTGCCTGTTGCTTCGCCAGTCTTTCCTGAAGATGCGTCAGGTACTCGTCACGTGCTTTAGCCGCCAGTTCCCTCTCGGATATGTTTGATTTATGAGTGGTCTCGATCTGGGTTCTCATGTCACTGACATCCTTGGTCGAGTTGAGAACTTGTTGCATGAGAGACTGGAGCGACTTGGTGTGGCCGTGCGCACTGGTGGCAGCACTGACCTAAAAAGCGCGGGAAAATGGTGGAAAATTAGTGCAGTTTTAAACTGTAACTGAATATACAAGAGGAGGAGTGGGGAGAGAAGGAAAAGGAAAACAAGCCAATCAGAGAAGAAAAAAAGAGACGAGGAGAGCAATAGAGTGCAAGAAAAAAAAACAGGGAAGAGGAGAAAGGAGAGCAGATGTATGGGAGGCGAGAAAAGATGCCACGGAATTCAGGCGATCAAACCAAAGAGAAAAAAAGTTGGTATCAGATATATTTTTACCTCCTGTTCCTTGAGTTTCCTCAGATGCGCCATCTCTTCTTCGTGTTCCTGTCTCATCTCTTCAACACCTTTACGATGAAGCTCCTTTATCCTGTCCAAGTCGATGTTCCGTGAAGATTCTAACGACTGCACCTTCCTCAAGTGCGCTGCTTGCATGGTGCTCTTCTCTTCCTCCAAGGCTCGTATTCGATCCTTGTAATGACTCACTTGTAAGTCTGTCTCTTCTTTGATGCGAGTCTCACGAAGCTGGTAAGATTCTTCAAGTGTCTTGATGTGCGCTCTGAGGGAGACACATATATACACATTAGTCTATAAAACTTTAGATCTTTATTTACATTGAGGTAAATCAAACTAGTCTGATCGTTCTGAGTCTGAAAGACTGTTTTTACTTATGAGTGAGACTTACATCAAAAAAAAAAAAAAAAAAAAAGGATACGTCATTCAACACAGTAACAACAATTTAGCTATCTGTAAATTACACTAATCCCAGCCCGCAAGTTTACTTTTCATCCAGTCAAAATAAGCGCACATTAAGGTTGGGTAACGGACAAAAACTAGCTCTGGTTTGAATTCGTTCTACATACTTGTTAGAGGTATCGATATTTGCCATCTCAGTGTGGTGACGAGTCTTCATGGAGTTTAAGGTAGTCTGTAGATGGTCTATCTCCATCTCTAGACGTCGAACCTGAAAACAAAGGCCATTACAGTTAGGAATGAGTTAGCGGTCAATTTTTTTTTGGTTTGTTTGTAAGTTCGTATTACGCCCAATCATTGATTGACTAACTGGGCACCGTTTAACTTGCTTAAGCAAACACCGCTGACCAAAAAGCAAGAAGACTTTGGGCTCGAGATTGACATCTACCAAGCTGTAATCTGAATTGCTATAAGTGTGTAAACTACTCCTTGGTAACTACTAGTAGCGCGCATTTGTGTGTGTGGGTGGGTGGGGGTTGGGGGAGGGGTAGGAGGGTGGGAAGGTCAAGGTGAGCTTCTTTAAAAAGCCAAAATCAAACGAAATATCACACGAAAATAACTACCTTTGCTTCAAGTTGTGCTACATATCCTGCTCCATCGATCTGCTGTCTCTGCGTATTCCCTTCCATTTCGTGTATTCTTTTCATTATCTCGTGCATCTCGCTTTCTAACTGTGCCTTATCACCTGTGATTAAACGGGATCCCTGAGGTATATAGTTGGAAGGGGTATGGTACTGAGTAGTGGGTTGTCCTTGAGGAGAATGTACTTGCATCTGATTGGTCAACTGGAGTTGTCCTTGTTGTAGGTAAGGACTTGAAGGAGTACTGATCGACGTTTGAGATGGATGCTGGTTGGATTGGAAATGTAGTGACGGAACATCTTTATGCAACGGTAACGCATGTTTTGACGTGACATCTGGTATCTGGTCACGCATTCCTTGATAAATTAACGGAGTTGGTTTCGAAGTTTCTTGTTCTCGTTCAGGAATCGCAGATGTTCTCGAAATCTCTAAACTTTGGTCACGCAAACCATGTTGAGGTAACGCAGTCGTTTTAGGAGTTTCTAGTTTTTGGTCACGCAATACTTGGTCGCGCCCAGGAGAATCAGAGCGTGTTGGCACGTCACTTGAGCCTGTCGGCTGCGCTTTTTGATGAACAACTGGTGATGGTTTCATTTCATCAGTTAAAGATGAGGACAAATCCAGAGGATCTTCCTCCTGGGAAGACTGGTCACGCCATCTCCTTCCTCTTCGGGGACTGCCGTCCAGAGGTGACCTGACACGGATAATGGATAATTATATACAAGCTTTCAGTACTACTCTCAGCCAACGCACAGGATTTCTTTTATTTCCTGACGCAACTTAAAATTTACTTCATGATGCAATTTAAAGTTTACTTCATGACGCAACTCAAAATTCAGTCTGCAGTTTGCACGATTTCTGCATAAGGTACTGCGCAAGCTATAACATTGAAATGGTTTCCCAGTTTAAGTAATTGGTGTTATGCAATCATAGCCGTTCATTCGGTCAAGGTAAAGCATGCCACAGCTACGGTAAGACTTACTTATTTTTGTTTAAAATACACTTATGGTAAAATGAAGGTTCTCATTTCCCACCTTTAAAACCTCTTTAAAAATGCAACTGTTAATTTATCTCATACTGCAGCAAAAATTAAAGATGAAAGTGCATTAATCTGTAATTGCACAATATCAATCACCACCTCAATCCATTTCTGAGAAACCAAGGATATTCTGACGTCACGGTAGTGCTAATCTCAAAATTCCCCACCCCCACCCCCATCCCTTCCTTTAATTTTGCTTACATACTTTGGTGTTTTATCATCTGGAGTGATTCCTAACATCTTGAGAAAGTCATCACCATCAGAACTGTCCTGTCCTCTGTTTCTTCGTCCAGTAGAATCTTGTATGGGTTTCTGTTGAGCAGCTGGAAAATTAATGATACAATGAGCCTGGCATTTAGGGAGCCTTTTGGTTCTTATTAGGAGGTAAAGTGGTTGAATTTCTAAAAGGGATTAAATAGGAGTTTTCAATCTGAGATCTTGGACCTACTAGGGTCAAATTTGGGTCCCAAGCATTGTATTGTGGGTGCCACGCAATACTGTAGTAAAAAAGAAGCCTTTGTCAACACAAGTGAAGTGAGTCCTGAGAAGCATCAAAATTATTGGCCCTAATTTGCACCAAAACCAAGGGAATATTCCTGCCTTAACATTGTATAACTTAACCCCCTTCTATCCTAGTTGTAAAAATTGTGCTCGCTAAATTTACAACCAACAATAGACTGTTTCCTCAAGGTTGCGTGCGCATCCAAATTTAAGGAACTGGACGGGCCACGATACCAGAACACGAGCTTTATGATGAGTGTTATCATGCATTGCTATGAAATTTTTTTTGATAAGAATTCATAAAATTGATTATTCTCCTCTTTAAATATAAAACTGTCTTCTCAATTTTACTAAATTTGCGTTTTTCAGTTTTGTGGCTCGTCAAGTTGGATGCGCAAGCAACCTTGAGAAACTGTCTATGCTGACCTTTCTTATGACACTGATCACTGGTTTTTGTAAACTCCCAGTTTTCAACCCTGTTTTTCATTGACCCCCTAAAAGCACTCACCCCTCCCCCAAATACAAAATAGGTGGTCCTATTTGTCCTATTTTGTACCTTACTCATACAAAAATTGAAAATATCATCAGGATTTCCTCACCTGCATCTTCTGTCTTTGTTTTTTTGGGGACAGTTTTGGATGGAGTTGAGGGTTTGTAGGAAGGAAGTTCTAGTTCTAGTCCAGGGTCTTCACTGCCAAGACCCAGCCAGTCAGAACCAGGTGTTGCTTCTGGGGAAAATAGCACCTTGCTGAACAACTTTATACTTCTACCATTATCATCTTCATCACTACCACCACCATTAGTCATCATCATCATTAAATCACCATATTTACATTTATCATCACTCTCTCATCACCATCACCATCTCTGTCATAATCATCATTACCACCACCACCCTCACCGTAATCATCATCATCATCATCACCATCACCATCACCATCACCATTACCATAAGCATAACCAGCATCATCACCATTACCATTACCAGCATCATCAACAAAATCATCATTATCATCATCATCACTAACATCATCATCATCACCATCACTGCCATATCATCATAATCATCACCAACATCACCAACATCACCAACATCCTCATCACTGCCATATTGTCATCACCATCATCATCACCAACATCATCAACATCACCATCACCAACATCATCATCATTACCATCACTGACATATTGTCATCATCTTCAAATCAGATAGTTCTATGACCATGTCACTCACTTCTTCCTAAAAGAAAAAGAACCAAACAAATTACCTTTCTTGTGAGGTTCTTTTTGAGTAGAGTCCTCATCAAAGGATGACCCCCCTGAATCCTTCATTCCCCTTCGTCCCTTTCCCTGGGTTGCCTGTTTTCTCTCAGGGGGTGCTGTCGAAGGCCTAGATGCTCCACCTAAAAGATCATCATCCAAGCCCAGCTCATCTGCAAACCTTACAGATCTTCTACCAGGTGCAGTGTCTGGTCTGGATCCTGGACCACCAGGACCTATAGCAGCTGAAGGGGTGTAGCTACCAAACTGGAAGGATTCTTCTTCTTCTTTAGAGCTGAGAGCTGTAGACACACAATCATTATGATAGACATTCTTAATCAATCTACCTGTGCCCTAATATTTTCGCTACTATGAGAAATAAATAAAAGTGGATGACATGTCTACTAGTACAGTGCTTATCAAGGTTTCCTCAAACTACTGAAAAATGACAAAAAATGCAGTTCGAACTTTTAATATTTCCCATAACTGAGTTTTCCTGAGTTGACAGGAGCAGAGTGTCAAAGTATTTTTACCCATAAAAATGCTTAGGGCTACGTCTTGATCAAGCATAACTAACAGCAACAGTTCATAAGTTCTCATTCACATGAGGTGGCATTTGACCACGATGTTCCTTATGGCCAGAACAAAATGAGATGCACGCAGGTCATAGGACATAAACTGAAAAACCCTGACTCAATCCCTGCAAATGTAAATTGTGTTGCTATATTTGAACCTTGACTGACCTTTTTTAGGCTGTGTTTCAGTTGATTTCTTGCCGCTGCTGGTGCTGATATTGGACATAAAGTCATCCAGTGTCTTGGGTTTTTGTGGCTTGGGCTCAATTTTTTCTTTCTTTCCTCCAAGAAGCTCGTCAAATCTTGAGGCTTTTGTGTTGGTTTGTTTTGCTGTAGGTTTACCCTCATCCAAACCTGTTTTCATACCAACAAGGGGGTACATCTATGCACCAACATGTACTATCAATATTAAGGCCCGGGAGAAATTTGACAGTTTCAAGGGGCCACTGAGTCAAGATAATTACCGCTGGGATCAAATGATTGTCAAATTTCAACCATCAGGAAAGACTCTTTTCCAGATTCTCTGGCCTTTAAAGATCATTGACAATGTCAAATTCCCTACCCTGGGGGATGGGGTGGGGCAAATAGTAGCCCTCAATGTCAATGTGCAAGCTTAAATGATTAATGACCTCAACATAAAACAAGCACCAGTGAACAGAGCACCAGAGCATCACAAACCAAGCACCAGTAACAAGACGATACATACCAAGCAAACCATCGTCCTCACCAAACAGATCGCTGTCTGTCTTTTGTTCTCGTCTCCTGCCAGGAGTCCCTGATGTCTGTCTGGTACTAGGTGTCTGGCCGACACTTGTTTGCCTTGAACTGGGTGTCTGTCTTGGGCTTTGGTCAATACCAGGAAGAAGATCATCACCATCATCATCAAAACTTACATCATTCTTTGGTTTGGATTGGGACTGCCGACCTGGGTAAATTAAAGGGTTCTTGTAATGTTAATATTGATATTCCACAACATTCAGCATTTTATCAAGGGTATAATTTATAGAAGGACATACAATGATGTAATTTGTTTTGGTTTATTGTTATCTAAATTGAAATCCAGAAATCTGTTTGATCAATCCAACAAAGCAAAGTGACAAAACCTATTGTTAAAATGGCTGATACATTAACATAACATCACCATGGCAATGTCTATAAACATTACATGCATGTCCACCTTTCGCTTTAAAGTATTTGGTCAGGTGTTCCTCAAGGCTTTATATTGGGACCTCTGATTCAACAGTACCTCACTAATGTAAATGGTTGAACAAATGGTGCATATGTTAAATGCAACACTTATTACAAAGATAAAAATACCTTTGGGTCTAGGTGATGCAGCTAAGGAACCATCTTGGGATTCTGTAGGAGATGAAATTCTGTCACTAAACTTGACAGACTTCGGACTTGCTGTTTCTTGTCTGTTTTGTGTCTTAGTGTTAGGGGATAGAGGTGGTGATTGAAGATCTAATGACTGACTTTCTTGCCGTTGTTGGCTTCTAGATGTTGTGGGCCTTTCTAATTCTACATTTTAAAAGATTTTATATAGTTAGGTTAAATACATTAATGCTGGGAAAGGAAAGGAAATGCAAGAGGAGAGGAGAGAAGAGAAGAGGAGAGAAGAGGAGAGAAGGGAAGAGAAGAGAAGAGAAG